CGTAATGGTGTGGGCTGTTTTTTCATGGCATGGACTTGGTCCTCTGGTGCGACTGGACCGAACATTGACTGGAAATGCTTATGTTGAGCTACTTGAGATCACTTGCAGCCATTCATGGACTTCATGTACCCAAACAACGATGGGATTTTTTATGGACGACAATGCGCCATGTCACTGGGCCACAACTGTTCGCGATTGGTTTGAAGAACATTCTGCACAATTCCAACGAATGATCTGGCCACCTAGATCGCCCGACATGAGTCCCATCGAGCATTTATGGGACATCATCGAGAGGTCTGTTCGTGCCCAAAATACTGCACCATCAACGCTTTCACAATTATGGACGTCTATCGAGACAGCATGGCTCAATATTCCTGCAGAAGACTTCCAACGACTTGTTGAGTCCATGCCACGTCGAGTTGCTGCACTTCGCCGGGCGAAAGGAGGGCCGACACGATATTAAGAGGTATCCCATGACTTTTGTCACTTCAGTGTAATAGAGCGTTTTTGCATACCGTATTTCGGACGTCCGTTAGCTTTTTGTCCCTAGCGCGCATGCTCATAGGAAACATTATTACAGATACGCATGCGCAATTTCCTATGAGCATGCGCGCTAGGGACAAAAAGCTAACGGACGTCCGAAATACGCTATGCAAAAACTCTCTAATAAGTTCTATGTTTCACATTAATTGACCTTAGTGACGCAGTAACCATTCCTAGATAAGTAAATTTGATTGTTGATAGCAGAGCAAACCAGACTCTTAGTTGAAGTTGCTAGCGCTTTTGGTTCAACTTACACCTGCGAATCGTTTTTTTTTTTCGAAAATGACCAAACACAAAACACGCTCAAACACTACGGAAACCTGCAACACCAATTACAATTTTCAAACACCCAAATTCAGATCGATTTGCGAAAGTGCAAGAGTGGAGAAACAAATATCGCATTCGTAAAATAAAAATTTTTAATGATTTAATTTTTTTTTATTTCATTTGTGTTTATATACATTTTATATTTCATTTTTCGTGATATATATTTCTTTACAATGTGCGTTTAGTATCATTATTATTATATTATCTATATTTAGACGTGGGCCTGAATGGCCGAGTGGCTGGCGCTCTGGCGCTCGATACCACAGGTTTCGGGTTCGAGTCCCGGCGGTGCCATGGTTATTTTAGTTGTTCGGAATCCACTTTAAAAAGTAGGTTCCGGTCTAATAGATCGTAGAGCGTTGCGGGGGCATTGTCACTCCGCGTCCGTGGCTTGTCTTCAAGTTACACGCGCCCTCTGGGTAATGCAAAGGGAGTACGTCTGTGCAGCGCTTGCCTTAAGGCATCCAAGAGCTTAGCTGTCTAAGTGTTTGCCAACTGCATTAGAAAAAAAAAAATTTTCAGAAGTAAAAAATAATAGTAAACACAATAATAACAACTCCTTATGCTTCAGTTTTTCACTCCAAAAAATGTCTATAATGGGTCTAAATCTACAATGGGTATATATAATTTAATATGCGACCAGCGGAGTTATGATACATTTCTAAAGTGGCCCGCAAGATCATTTGGGTTGGCCACCCATGTTATAGAAGATACAATGTTTTCTTCTGGATTAAATAAAACATTGTCGCAAAAACTGTTATAAATATAACAATAATATATTTGGCATAACAAAAATAATTTTTACTTTTAAAAGATATGATAATGATTGATTTAATGTGGTAAATAAAACGTGAGCAGGAAACTAATTGCGATTTTTAGTTCTGATTTTCAACTGAAAAGGATGCAATAACACTATCAAATTAATATTAATGGTGCCTTTTCAAAAGTAATGTAAATGGTATCAACCAGTTTGTTTTTATTAATATTTAACGAAGCTAATTAGTTAAATTGTAAGTAATAAAAATATAAAATAACTAAATGGCAAAAACAGGTATAGAAAATGCACTTTTGAACTTTATACCTTGTTTCTTTTATAAGCAATGTGTTTAATTCAAATTATTAGAGTTAAATGCCATTCTGCTTTAATATTGTAATCGTTTTTTAAACCTCGGTGACAGAACTGTAACAATAAATAAATAAATACAAAAATCATTATATGTATTACGAACAAATTAAAGCATATTATTTATGATTTAAAATAGTTTATCATGAAGGTGGGAGGCAAAGTTTTGAATACATTCAACGTAGAAGGCATTTATATTGAAGATTTTGAAGTAAATTTTGAAACCTAATTAGGCCAATAATAAAAAATTACATTTTTGAATTGTGATGGTTTTTTAAACTTTTAATAAACGATGTATGATAATGTATTTTCTGCGCTAAAACATTTTTTTAAAGTTGAATGAGATGAATTTGTGACAGCGATTAACATTTTCAGGTATATGAAAATTTAAATAAGTTGTAAATTAAAAATAATGTACGAGTCATAAAATTTTTTATAAATTTGACTTTAAAAGGCTGCAAATTTTGTTGTTGTTCTAACGCAGCTGCCACTACAGAGACATTTAATTTTTGACATAAGCAAAGGCTTCAACGTTGTTACTCATTTAGCATTACCCAAGGTGCACGTGGGATTTTTAAGATATGCTACGGGAGCGAGTAACACTATCTCCACAGTGTTCTACGAACCTATTAGACCGAGACCTCCTCTTATAAAGTGGATTCCAAACCACTACAAACATCCATGCCGGGATTCGAATCCGAAATTTGTGATACCAAGCGTCAGAACGCTAGCCACTTGGCCACCAGGCCCCTGGGCTGAAAATGTATTGATATAAAATTTATATCTATTTGTAACATGAAATCAATATGTTTATCAAATTCCGACCATGTTAGTAGGTTAGAGTTACTAGCAATAGGATAATACACTCATGGCCATAAATTAAGGATAATGAAGTTCAGGCAAGAAAAGAGACAGAAGCAAAACAAATTTGACTTATTTGTAAAGTCTATTTATTAAACAAAACGTAAAGAACAAAAAAGATGCTATATGTTTGACATAATTAATAAAATTGCGATTTTTACTCCCTGAGCAAATTTCAAAAAAGAACCTATTCACAAAAAACGGTATAACATGGTTAGTATGTTGATTAATATGGAGTATGTCTCCCGGACGATGCAATACAGGCCTTACAAAGCCTAGGCATGCTGAGTATCAAATTATCAATCTGATCTTGGGGAATATTACACCACTTATTAAGCAATGCCTTCCGAAGTTCCGGTTGAAAGGTGGGAGGGAGTTAACGGGCTGCAATTCGTTGGCCAAGCATATCCCACACATGCTCTATTGGATTCAAGTCCGGTGAGTATGCTGGACAATCCGTACGAGTGACATCCTCCAATTGAAGGCATCCGTCTACAATGTTTGCACCGTGAGGACGGGCGTTGTCATCCATAAACAGAAATTCAGCACCCATGGCGCGCCGAAACAAACGTACATGTTGTTCTAGAATGACATCCCGATAGATGTGGCCTGTCATCGTTACACTCTGAACATGCAGGTCAGTTCTGGAACCAAGAATAATTCCTTCCCAAACGTGCCATCCTGCACCACCGTAACGGTGTCGTTCAATGGTGTTCTCTTGGTGGTAACGGGTACCTGGCGCTCTCCATATGAAAGTTCGGCGAGAATCAGACTGCAAACTAAACCTGGACTCGTCGGAATACATCACACCAGACCACTGTTGTGGTGTCCACAATGCATGCTCTCTACTCCAGGTTAATCGCTGGCGACAGTGAGTTGCGGTAAAAGTGGAACACATCTGACAGGCCTACGAGCATATAGACCAATGTGCCCTAAGCGTCTGTACACAGTCTGCCTTGAAACTGTCGTACCGGTAGCTGAAGAGAGCTTACGAGACAGGTCTGATGCTGTGATCCGCCTGTTTCTTGTGGCAGTAACTGCTAAATACCGGTCCTCATTCGGCGTTGTAACTCGGGGGCGACCTGTGCTGTAACATCCACTCACATTACCATCCTCTTGGAATCGTTGCCAAAGGCTGGAGATGACACTCTGGGCGATTCCAAGTTCCTCGGATACTTCCAGCTGGGTACGTCCCCATCCCAGTCGTCCGATAATTCTACCACGTAAAAAATCACCCAAATGCTTCCTTTGTGCCATAACTATGTGGTTATTGCACTGAAAGGCTTTTAAAGCGCTTGCGAACAATTTTACTTCTTTGCCACCCCTCTCTTACACTCTCTTACATTGTGACGTACTATCCGCGCCATCTGGTGGTTTCCTGTAATTTGCATATTCTTCTTCAAGATGTGTGTGATAATTCTACAGGAGAAATTTTTATTTTAGAGTTCAATTTCTGTGTGATTCTGAATTATCCTTAATTTTTGGACAGGAGTGTAGATACAAAGGTAAATAGAGTAAGGTAAAGGTAGTAACTAAAAAAACACATAATAAGTGGTAGGTAAAATAGTTAGACAATAGTTACTTTTATCAGAAAATCTTTGAACTTGCAAAAAAATATGTATTTGGAAAAAAGGGCCCCCAAAAAAATTACTACAGTTTTGATTACAGAAATAATGCTCTCATCTAACAACAACTTTTAATTAGTTTCATATGAGTTTTCATATTTTACATTTAAAAATTTTCATTATGAATAATTATGCATTCTTAAGCTTGGTAAAGATCCACCAGACCAAATAGCTATTGACCCATGTCTTCTTTAAGCAATATCGAGGAACTTCTATCTTTAAATACCTTGTTTGTTGTTTCTCATCCCACTTGGCTTGCCAATCCCACGAGCCCATACGTATCCATGATTGAAGGGGGAAGGAAGCAGCTTCTGTTGTGATGGAGCACCCGTAGGTAGAAGTCTGACTTTGGCACCGTGACGCTCTTACAGTCATACTAGACCGGGACCTACGGCTTAAAGTGGATTCCAGAACCACTACAAACATCCATGGCACCGCCGGGATTCGAACCCGAAACCTGTGGGCACCGAGCGCCATAGCGCTGGACACTCGATCGTTCAGGTCCCAAATTTGTGAATGCCAACGGCACGCGGTGTTCCCAGGTGTTCACCCACCCAAGTACTGACAACGCCCAATGATGCTTGACTTAGGTGATCTAACGAGTACAGCATGGTATGGTATATTCAGCATGGTATGGCCGTTGGCTCTTAAATACCTTAAAATCCATATGAAAAGAAATAATTTTACGATTCTCCACTTTTTACTATCCATCAGCTAAATCTAGCAGAAATTGTTTCTGAGAGTTTCACGATTTCAGCGATCATCCTTGCTGCAGCCAAGACATTTGATAAAGTATGGATTGATGACACTTTCATAAACTTATAACTTTTACTTTATACTTTTAGTGTTTTTCATAAAACACTCATAAATAATCTAATTCTATTGATTCAATTAAATTATTTCTAATTAATTCACTTCTATCTTTACCAATATAAATTTCATAGTTGTGATTAATAAAGTTGATTCTAAAATCAGAAATATTTAAGTGGAGTCCCAGAGAAATCTCTCTTATGACTTTTCTTTACGACATCGTTATAAATGATATTCCTCAATCTCTTTACGTTACGCTATAGATTCCTGTCTAATTAGTGTGCAAAAAACGACCGTAGAGCGTATAACTAAACCAAACCAAACTTCAATGTCTTCTCATGTTAAATTTACACTTTATACAGATGCCACTGATATCCTTTGTCAAAATACAATTTTCTATTACATCATCTTTACTCAAAACTACATCTACTCTCTCGAAAATGTCTGAATAAATGAAAAATCTCATTAACTAACAAAACGGAAGATATTCTTTTTATGGAAAAATATAAAATTATTTATTGTAATATAGTTAGCAACATTATTTGTCCTCACAGAATAAGTATTTAGGAATTACTCTTGATAAATCTCTCATTTATCACTCTTATGTCAATTATTCAACAAAAAGGTTTAACATTTGCATTCGTATTTTTTATCCGCTCATTTGCAGAAAATCTACACTTTCTGTCAATAATAAAGAGCTCATCTATATTTATTACATGCGTAGTACTCATATTATTTAATATGTGAATAATACTCTGGTTCTGTCTAAAATTCAAAACATAATTCTTTATGGAAAAATTATAAATATTCCGATACAAAGGTTCATTGAAATATTCTGGAAATTCTAAGCAGACATTATTTTGTCTTAGATTCAACGAAATTTAGTTAGGTAAATAGTTTCATTATTTTGTTTTAAATGGAAAATATTTTAAAAATCTGATTATTGAATGAATTCATTTTGAATAAGCGGTCTAAGTGTTTGCCAGCTGCATTAGAAAGAAAAAAAAATGTTCAGAAGTAAAAATAATAGTAAACACAATAATAATAACTCCTTATGCTTCAGTTTTTCACTCCAAAAATGTCTATAATGGGGATATATAATTTAATATGCGGCCAGCGGAGTTATGATACATTTCTAAAGTGGCCCGCAAGATCATTTGGGTTGGCCACCCATGTTTAGAAGATACATCGTTTTCTTCTGGATTAAATAAAACGTTGTCGCAAAAACTGTTATAAATATAACAATAATATATTTGGCATAACAAAAATAATTTTTACTATTAAAAAGATATGACAATGATAGATTTAATGCGGTAAATAAAACGTGAGTAGGAAACTAATTGCGATTTTTACTTCTGATTTTTCAACTGAAAAGGATACAATAACACTATCAAATTAATATTAATGGTGCCTTTTCAAAAGTAATGTACATGATATCAACCAGTATGTTTTTATTAATATTTAACGAAGCTAATTAGTTAAATTGTAAGTAATAAAAATATAAAATAACTAAATGACAAGAACAGATATAGAAAGTGTACTTTTGAACTTTATACCTTGTTTCTTTTATAAGCAATGTGTTTAATTCAAATTATTAGAGTTAAACGCCATTCTTCTTTAATATTGTAATTTTTTTTAAACCCTGGTGACAGAGCTGTAACAAAATAAATAAATATAAAAACATTAAATGTATTACGAACTAATTAAAGTATATTATTTATGATAAATAGTTTATCATGAAAGTAGGAGGCAAAGTTTTAAATACATTCAACATAGAAGGCATTTATATTGAAGATTTTGAAGTAAATTTTGAAACCTAACCAGGCCAATAATAAAATTACATTTGTAAATTGTGATGGTTTTTTAAACTTTTCAATAAACGTTGTATGATAATATATTTTCTGCACTAAAACATTTTTTAAAGTTGAATGAGATGAATTTGTGAAAGCGATAAACATTTTCAGGCATATGAAAATTAAAATAAGTTGTAAATTTACGAGTTATAAAATTTTTGTAAATTTCACTTTAAAAAGGCTGCAAATTTTGTTGTTGTTCTAACGCAGCTGCCAATACAGAGACATTTAATTTTTATGACATAAGCAAAGGCTTCAACGTTGTTACTCATTTAGCATTACCCAAGGTGCACGTGAGATTTTTAAGATATGCTACGGGAGTGAGTTACGCTATCCCCATAGTGTTCTACAATCCTATTAGACCGAGACCTACCGTTTAAAGTGGATTCCAAACCACTACAAACATCCATGCCGGAACTCCGAATCCGAAACTTGTGATACCAAGCGTCAGAGCGCTAGCCACTCGGCCACCAGGCGCACTCGGCTGAAAATGTATTGATACATATTTTTCTCTCTATTTGTAAAATGAAATCAATATATTTATCAAACTCTGACCATGTTAGTAGGTTATAGTTACTAGCAATAGGATAATAAATACTAAAATAAATAGGGTAAGGTAAAGATAGTAAGTAAAATACATAGGTATAAAAATACATAAAGTAGTAAGTAAAATATATAGGCAATAGTTACATTTATCAGAAAATCTTTTTTCTTTCCAATGCAGCTGGCAAACACTTAAACAGCTTGGTCTTGGATGCCTTAAGGCAAGCGCGGCACAGACGTTACTCACTTTGCATTACCCAGGGGCGCGTGTAACTTGAAGATAAGCCACGGACGCGGAGTAACAATGCCCCCGCGACGCTCTACGATCCAATTAGGGACCGGGACCTACGGTTTAAAGTGGATTCCGAACCACTACAAACATCCATGGCCCCACCGGGATTCTAACCCGAAACCTGTGGTACCGAGTGCCAGAGCGCTAGCCACTCGGCCATTCAGGCCCCTATTTATAACATGAAATCAATATATTTATCAAACTCTGGCCATGTTAGTAGGTTATAGTTACTAGCAATAGGATAATAGATACAAAGGTAAATAGGGTAAGGTAAAGGTAGTAAGTAAAATACATAGGTATAAAATACATAAAGTAGTAGGTAAAATAGATAGGCAATAGTTACTTTTATCAGAAAATCTATGAACTTGAAATTTTTTTTTTTTTATTTGGAAAAAATGACCCAATAAAAGTTTGAACAGCGTTATGCAGTGTTACAGAAATAATGCTCATCTAACAACAACTTTCAATTAGTTTCATATGAGTTTTTCATATTTTTACATTTAAAAATTTTCATTATGAATAATTATGTATTCTTAAGCTTGGTAAAGATCCACCAGACCAAATAGCTATTGTCCCATTTCTTCTTCTTAAGCAATATCGAGGAACTTATATCCTTAAATACCTTGTTTGTTGTTTCTTTATCCCACTTGGCTTGCCAAGCCCACGAGCTCATACGCACTCATGATTGAAGGGAAGTAAGCAGCTTCTGTTGTGATGGAGGACCCGTAGGTAGAAGTCTGACTTTGGTTTCGTGACGGTCTTACAGTCATACTAGACCAGGACCTACGGCTTAAAGTGGATTCCAGAACCACTACAAACATCCATGGCACCGCCGGGATTTGAACCCGAAACCTGTAGCACCAGCGCCAGAGCGCTAGACACTCGGCCATTCAGGTCCCAAATTTGTGAATGCCAACGGCACACGGTGTTCCCAGGTGGTCACCCACCCAAGTACTGACCGCGCCCAATGATGTTTGACTTCGGTGATCTAACGAGAACCGGTATATTCAGCATGGTATGGCCGTTTGCTCTTAAATACCTTAAAATCCATATGAAAAGAAATAATTTTACGATTCTCCACTTTTTACTATACATCAACTAAGTCTAACAGAAATTGTTTCTGAGAGTTTCACGATTTCAGCGATCATCCTTGCTGCAGTCAAGACATTTGATAAAGTATGGATTGATGACACTTTCATAAACTTATAACTTTTACTTATACTTTTAGTGATTTTTATAAAACATAAATAATCTTCTATTAATTCAACTAAATTATTTCTAATTAATTCACTTCTATATTTACCAATATGGGCCTGATGGCCGAGTGGCTAGCGCTCTGGCGCTCGGTACCACAGGTTTCGGGTTCGAGTCCCGGCGGTACCATGGATGTTTGTAGTGGTTCGAATCCACTTTAAACCGTAGGTCCCGGTCTAATATGATAGAGCGTTGCAGGGGCATTGTTACTCCGCAACCGTGGCTTATCTTCAAGTTACACGCGCCCCCTGGGTAATGCAAAGTGAGTAACGTCGGTGCAGCGCTTCTGCCTTAAGGCATTCAAGACCAAGCTGTCTAAGTGTTTGCCAGCTGCATTAGAAAGAAAAAAATATTTACCATTATAAAGTTCATAGTTCCCAGTTCAAAGTTGTCCCAGTCCATAGTTGCCATAGGAGTCCCAGAGAAATCTCTCTTATGACTTTTCTTTACGACACCTTTATAAATGATATTCCTCAATCTCTTTTACGTTACACTGTATGTTCTGGTCTAATTAGTGTGCAAAAAAATGACCGTAGAACGACAGAACTAAACCAAACCAAACTTAAATCTCTTCTGATGTTAAAAATTACACCTTATACAGATGACACTGATCTCCTTTGCCAAAATACAACTTTCTATTACATCATCTTTACTCAAAAACTACATCTACTCTCTCGAAAAATGTCTGAATAAATGAAAAATCTCATTAACTAACAACACGGAAGATATTCTTTTATGGGAAAAGATAAAATTATTTAACTTAATATGGTTAATAACATTGTTGGTCCTCACAGATTAAGTTTTAGGAATTACTCTTGATAAATCTCATTTATCACTTATATCAATAATTTAACAAAAGATTTAACATTTGCATTTGTATTTTTTACCCG